AAAATATGTTTTAGATAATGTTATAGACTTACTGAAGTCAGCTTGAGTACTTGGCAATACAATTTTAAAGCCATATTTTATCGAAAAATGTAGTACGAAAACCCTGTTATTGGATATAACCCTAGGAATTTCTCACTTTTCGGGGACTACGTAACTCTTAGGATTGCGCTTGATTGACTTAGAGTACTCTAATGGTAGTCTTTCAGGGCTAAAGCGCTGAAAAAAGCGAACACCAAGAGAATTCTGATTATATTTGGAATAAATTTTGCGCCTGTTATGTTTAAAATGCTTCAGAACTGATCTTCACCTACTTCTTACTTGAGGATTATGAGTGAAGTGGTAAGATGTATTGACCGTTTTACGTAGTGGGTGGCATCAACCCAAGTTGGTTGGTTGCTGGCCATTTCTCCGCTCGGTTATAAAAGACCTGTTCAGCCTATACCAACTAATATATCTGTTTTAGTATAGGACTGATTCGTCCTCTGAAAGCAGATATGAAAAGATTACAGGTTTTCGACCAAAAATGCCTTCGTAGTATTCCTTGCAGGCAGGGGAATCCGTGTGAACAATGTCGACTCTAGACAAAGGAAACCGGGCAAAGAAAATAATTCAGTCAATGAAGTTGCAGACCTTCAGCGACTGAGTTGCCTTGAACATGTGTTGTACGTGCTGAGGTACCGTCTGCATTGAAGCATGATGTTAGTGGAAATAAGATTGGATTGGAAGAAGGTGAAGGGTGAAAAGTGCAAGACCTGGCATAGGTCTATGAAATCTGGTCTCAGAGTCTATAATCCGATTACTTCGTTTGTTTAGGATTGTAGTGGCACACAAAAAGAAAATCACTACCAAAAATTCCGTGCAAGACGAAGGAAGACAACAATTATATTTCACAAACCAGCTGCTAAGATTGCCCACAAAAGTACCTTGGCCAGCCTATTTGTCGGATTACTCAAAGGATTCACGAGTAACAACTGGCAGTTGAGCGATATGTTACAACTTCGTATTGATTCACACAGACAAATACGATTACAATTTCGACTGGTGAAATGTGGAAATCCTTCAAATAGCAGGTTCGAAGGCTATAAGAAAATTTCTATTGGCCCGGCATTGGAATGAAGTTTATCAACAGATACTTATATGTAGATCCAATCTACAACCCACTTAGGGAGAAAGCAGACACCCATCATCCAGTTGCACATTGATCAAACAAATAGACAATGAAGCACAGTTTAACAGCAAATGATAGCACAATTTGACTTGCAAAAAGATTCCCCCTCATCATAACCTAATGAAATGAAAAAGCAGAGGGGTCATTAAATAATAAAAATCTCTTTCCCTACCTACAAATGGACAACGCTAAGGGTCAGCAAAACGCTATCTGAGCATTCCTGTAGCACTTAAATATGCTTCACTTCTTTGTGAAATTAATGCTGGGGATGTCATTTTCACTTGCCAACTTGCTTCATCTGTGGCGCCAACTGGCGAGATATGCAACCACCTATCAAAAAACGAGTATACTGTGCGCAGTCCATTGTATCCTGTTTCGCGGCTGTCAGACATGTCCGTTGAAACTGGATATGAAGCGGTCACAGGGTTTTGTTCACAATTATCTTCATAGCATTGCTTGCGTTTAGTAGAATTACGATGTAATCAATTTTGAGGTCAAGTGAAGGGTACTAGGCAAGACAGACAGGTTGATTTATGAGATAAACCCTAATAGACTGAGATGGCTTGGACATATACCGCTTATACAGAGCTACCGCTTACCTCAACGTGCAATGTTAGCCGAAGTCGAATTATGTTGAGAGGGTTCAGGATAACCAGACGAAGATGTGAAACCGATCGATGAAGTCCCTGATTTTTGGTATGGGTCATGTGGGGGATTTAGACTACCTCACTGGGGTCCCGAGATTATAGGAATTAACGGTTGAGGACTCTTGATGAAATGGCGGGAAATGGATCACAATGGCGCAGATGGATTCACTTTTTTACGTCTTCTAAAACCTGAGTGTTTCGACTGATCTTACTTTTTAAATTCCCTCTCCTCCCACACACCTCTATCTACTTTAATATCACTTTTCTATCCACCTGTTTTCTTCCAGTTGGTAATGGGCGATACGTATTGTGTCAGGAACAGACAAGCAATAACAACGTAGAACTCAGCCCATAAGTGCATTGGTTCAAGTTGCCACACTTCACAGGAGTATACAAAGAACAAGTGGATAGAAAAAGAGTGATAAAAAAGTAGTTAAAGCTGTATGGGAGGAAAAGGAATTTAAAAAGTAAGATCAGTCGAAACACTCAGGTTTTAGAAGACGTAAAAAAGTGAATCCATCTGCGCCATTGTGATCCATTTCCCGCCATTTCATCAAGAGTCCTCAACCGTTAATTCCTATAATCTCGGGACCCCAGTGAGTTAGTCTAAATCCCCCACATGACCCATACCAAAAATCAGGGACTTCATCGATCGGTTTCACATCTTCGTCTGGTTATCCTGAACCCTCTCAACATAATTCGACTTCAGTTAACATTACCCGTCAAGATAAGGAGTTGCAAACAGGTGTCACCAGACTTCTTCTGGATAAGTGTTCTGTATTGGTAACTTTCTAGTCAGTTTCTCACTGAAGTCAGCCGTATTTTCATCGTCAAACAGCACTTGTAATAGTCTTGCTACTGCAGTTATCCCCCATCCATCTACTGGCAGACAAGCAAGTGCTCGGACCAACGCGCGATCCCTATCCAAACGTGCTCTAGAAGTAGCTGCAATCTTCCAACGATTTGTAGTTCGTGCCAGTCAGAAACGAATGGTTGTCTGGGCACAGTTTTAGAAGGCGATCGGCGTTATCTGCTTGTTCTGCTGGGATTCGGTCACCCACGTAAGTTCCTTTGTGTAGGACTTCCCTTACCCACTTGTGCATTGAAATTACCCACTACGACAACCACATGTAAACGTCAGACTTCCAGTAGGAGGTTAGAAAGTTTGCGGTAGAACTTGACCTTCACTTCATTCGTACTGCAGTCAGAGATTGCGAAAAGATAACTTTTTGTGCGCTTTTTACTCATCGCATAATTCAGTCGAATAACGCACGGGTGACTCAACTGTGATCCAGTGGAGCAACACACTTTCTACCTTGGAATTCAATGTTATAACTGGAGTAGCAAGACCGCATGCACTAGCTACTGAGTCTCCAAAAACTCTAGGAGTGAGTTTTGTAAATTCATTATATTGATCGAGTGGGGTCAAGTGAGTAACCGCACTTAGATCCTGTATTTGTGTCTCACAAACAACACATCTATGTTCCAAGTTGTTAGAGTTTTGGCTGACGGTTTGACGGAGGATGTAGATAGTGACAGCTCCAATGTATAGTTTGGAGTGCGGTTTCAAGAGACTAGGAATGCTATTTCGTGAACTGAAATCGTTGCCAAGAGCTTCAAAACTCCAAGAAATTATAGATGAAGTAAGAGTGTTGATCGGGGGACTTTGAGGGAAGATTAGATTGTAATGATGTAGAAGGTTGATTATAAAGTAAGGTAGCTTAAGTGCTGATAGATCTGTGGGAGTGATTCACACTTCCCTGCTCTTTACACTGTGATTGACTGGTTCTTCTTAAGGTACTTGCACAGGAAGAGTTGGTCTGTGGCTGCAGGGCCGAAGGGATATCTACTTGGGGCCGGTTACAGACGGCCTTTTTAAAAGTTTGAGATTTAAGTTTGATAGTTTCAACTCCGTCTACGAAAGCATATTGCCTGGATTGCTGTAGCTCTGGATATAAAGGGTCGACTTTTCCTATCCCTTGCCCTTGCAATAGGCAGGACAGCATTGGCGTCGAATTGTTGGCAACCCACGCGAAACACCTTGTTGCTGTCACATTACCGTCCAGTCAGCAGTAAGACAACACTATAAACCTGTCATAGGCTAGGAATTCGCACTATAATGTTAATTACTTTTTGTCTTACCAGTTTACAACTGACCTTTCTGTTATGGTAGTACCTCGGGGGAACAAGCATTCTGTCATCACAGCTCGTTGGGTCATTGTGATATGCTAGGCTGACCATCACGTCAAGGTAGCAGCTATCAGTCGGGCTATGTCACTCCTCTTCTTTACATACTGCTGTGAAATTCGGCAATATGAACCGATGTGCTTCTTTCCTAGGTTCTTTGTTGATATATCTATCTGCATATGTTATTTTGAGGTCAAATCGTTATATGTAAGCAATAGCTTTTAGATATTTACAATCCCTTGAAGTGTCGCTTACTTGATTGCCAACCTGAATTAAAATTTTGTTTGATTTCTCTGACTAATTAACCTAACAACTAGGTAAATATCTTTTTGTTAGCCATGCCTCATTGATTTTCATGATGATTTTATTTCCTTTGGCTATACTATTAAGAACTACAGCCCTAAATATTATTCCGTTCAGTATTTTTTTCAATAACTCAGCTGTGAACATCTGCTATGTGTGAGTACTAAAACGTGATGCGGAATCTATGTCTCCTTTAGTATGGAATTATTTATGCGACACACCAAGCTGTGGCTTGGCTGTGTCCTATGAAAACGATCTGTTAAATAAAGTTTCGAACCAGTTTTAAACCATATTATGGATTTTCATCAGCATAGTTCGTCAGTGTTTGTACTCATTTCTTTCTGACTTCATTGTTTACTGTTTTTTATATTGTGTGTGGTAATATAACACATTTGTTGCAAGAAATAAGATGCAAAAACGTTTATTGTGGTGCTAAAAGTACTGCCAGTACTTTAATTTGTAACCATCTTCAAGTAGTTGAATCACTTGTACTGGAAAATCGAATTTGAGAATATGATACGAATGATTTATGATTTAGAATGATTTAACATAGCATTGTCTGAGTATTATTTAAGGTTTTAATCTGTTAAATCACAAATGCCTAATCAGCAGACTATGTGATATTGACCAGTTTTTCAGTCTGTTGAAGTATGTAAAATCTCACCACCTTTTTCACAATATTTTCTACCTTATAGTTAAAACGTCAAGCAAGACTACGCCGAGAATTTGTTTACAGAAGATCTATCGAAGTTCGGGATGCTGAAAATGAAAAGAAAAAAAGGTTGTTGAAAGCTGCTTTATCTGAAGGGAGATCTCTGCCTAAAGAAATTCAACAAGATGCCTTACAGTTGAATGAAGAATTAGACTGGAGTGATGATGGTGGTGAAGGTATCTTTTTATAGCTCTATCCTTCATGTTTGTGTTAGGAGTTGCCACTAACCAAGATGATGAATATTTTTGGGCTGGAACCGAAGATCCTCGAGTTGTCGTTACCACATCACGATCTCCGAGTTCTAAATTAAAAGAATTTGCTAAGGAACTACGTTTTCTGATTCCGAATGCATCTAAAATCAATCGAGGTAACTACCTCAACAAGGATTTATTAGAAGCCTGTTTGGCAAAGCAGGTATGTTTTTTTCTCCAAATGTTACTTGATATTTGTCTGAGTACTTGTCTTTCCAATTAGTTTGTTTTGTACGCACACATGCAGGAGTGTACAAATCTCAAATAACGGTAACCTGCATTCCTTGTCTTTGTCTCCTCCCTTGTCTTCACTTCTTCACTTTATTATCTTGTGACCATTTTTAATAATTCAAGTCAGAGAAACACTGTCCGTATTACCCTAAAACCCTTCCATCAATTTTATGTTGAAGCTTTCAACGTTCAAACCTTATGCCAAGTCGGACGACAAGCATCTCTTACCAAAACTCTTGAATCTCAAACCGTGACTGTACGTTGTGCCTATGAGACTAGTATGCACGGCCCGAGTAAGGTTATTAACTTGACCCCACCTAGTCAATGTGGTGAATTTGCAAAATTCACTTTACGCGTGTCCGGAGATTCAGTGACCAGGTATCGTGAACTCGCTGTTGTAAGTATAGCACTAAGTTCTCAAGCAGAGAGTGCACTTCTCGACTGGATACCAGGCAACAGCTGTCTGTGTGCTGTTTCACTGAATCGATATGTAAACACTAGGAGGGATTATGAGACCAGTTGATGCCTATTCGAAATATCTGGATACACTTCCACCGATTGCAGTTTGGATGATACAATGGATGAATTCTATTGGAAATTGTCAGTGTTTCTACATAAAGCAAAACCTTGATGTATATTCACATTAACTGACGACTTTAACTCTCACGTGGCAAAACTGACCCAATCTAAAGGGTATCCTGAGTGTATTTATAGCATCCCATACTAGCGAACCGACAACGGAGATTATCTGTTGCAAAGTTTATAGGATGAATTTTCGCCTGTCAATTTTTTGTTTTCGCGTTTACGGTATGCGTATGCAAGCAGTGTATAACTACGTATACTAAAGTGTGTTATTATCTTATGGTTGTAGTGTAACTAATAACACTAGTAAAAAGTGGATTCTTACTATTTATTGACATACTTGTAATTCTCCGTTGTTTTATTGGATCGAATTGTTCGACCTCCATTGGCATATAGGCTCCTATGCGGATGCCTCGATATTGCCTGAATGTTAATGAAGGTAATTTGTTTGGCTGAGGCTAGCAGAAGAATCTAGGACGCGCGTTTCTTCCTACTGGGACTCGTCAGCCGGATGTACGGGGTTCAAGCCTCAGTGGGCACAACATCACTCACTGAGATGCAGGTAAATCCAGCTGGTGAGTCCCAAGTAGGACGCAACGCGCGCCCTGGATTCTTCTGCTAACCACAACCAAACAAGAAAGTGGATTCATTGAATTTGGGGGTTTGTGGAAATTTAGTGATTTTTCAAGTTGGTGCTCATCATGGACCGACATCATTTGGAGGAAGGTTGGAAACCCGGGAGCACTAGAAAGCTATTTTGAACCAGTATGGGACTCCAGCAGTGCGCAGTCATGATCCCCCTTGCTAGGGATCAAACATAGGACCTTCAGGTCCCGTAGCCAGCACGTTACCATTGAGCCATTGGTCTATATTTCCAACTTCTGTCGGTTCACGGCATAGCGTGATCATCACCCAATATCATCGTTGAGTATTTGTCCTCACACCCACCAGGTTTGCCCCACCGGTCATGACTTTTCATTGGAACTTCAGGAATCACCTCTCGAAGCTAGTCACTAATGAGCACTAGATCATTTAAATTTGGGGGTTAGTGGTGATTTAGTGATTTTTCAGTAATAATGTTTTTAGTTGAATTTGAGAGGATAATTTTTATTTTCAATTTTTACCGCTTTCTCTCAATAACAGATCACTGATGTTGTCATTGTCAATGAATCACGGGGTGTCCCGGATACTTTGATTATTAGCCATTTACCGTTTGGTCCAACTGCTATCTTCACATTATACAATGTACGTACACGGCATGATATGGAGACTATGGGTTGTGGTTCAGGGGCTAAAATGCCACAAACTTATCCTAATCATATTTTCAAAGGATTAGATTCGAAATTAGGCCAACGTGTTAGATGTATTCTAAAACACTTATTCCCAGTACCAAAGGATGATTCAAGGCGTGTAGTTACATGGTATGAAGAAGATGATGTTATATGTTTCAGGTGAGAATTACTAACATGGGTGTTACATTACTTTGCTCTGGGTACATATTATGCAAACACCTAAAGGAATAGTTATCTGTTGTTAACTTTCGTTTTAATGCATGAATATAGTTTTATTCGATTGGCAGTTACTGTTTCATTAATGGTTTTTTAAGTCTTCAGTAGTTCTCAGCGTTAGCTTGGTCTGAAACAGAACCCTAAACCTTCATACATGTTGTTGCTGTTACGTTTTGTAGATGTCCAGTTAACCGAGACGTCAAAGTTACGCTTAGGCCAATTGACTTACTATTAAAATTATATCTTGTGATATTAGTAGCTGAGGTAAGAATAGTAAATATCATCACCCGTAAAATTTATCTACATTCACTGATGTCTGATTCAAATTTCATACTGTATTTCATGCATTTAGTTGGATGAGACTGTATTTTAAGACATGTTTACAGTCAAACTGCATAACAACATAAGGGCTATACGCGTCGCACAAGAAGTGGCTATCGTGACTCCGTGGCCTAGTTGGATAACCTCCTGGTGTTTAGTGATTGGTCCCGGGTTTGAGTCTAACAACATCACTCACTGGGAGGCAGTTACATCCAACTGATGAGTCCTAAAAAGGACGAAACGCGTGTGCCGGATCCTATGCTGGCCACTACCATTCATTACTATAGAATTACATAGTTGTTTGGGATGATCTGACGTTGATAGGGATTATGCAGAGGTGTCACTAAATCACAAATCGAACTTCTCTGGAGGCAATAATTGTGGAAGTGGATAAGATTGAGAGCTAATAGAAAGTGGATTAACTTGTGTAAGAATTTGGGCATTGTGGTAAAGCATAATTCTAATGTAGTTCTTTTTTATGTATGGATCACACAGTGGAGCAGCATTATTTACTTATGGTGTTAAGAGCAGAATTCATTGCCCATAATCATACCAAGGTAATCGAACAACTTTCTGGTTCTATTGTTTTTCATCCTTTGATTTGCTTAGTAATAAAATATTCTACATATCCACAGTGTGTGTTGCGCCATTATTCCTATCACGTGTTAAGTGTTGATTCGATAAACAAAACTTCAGTTATCAACCTCTCTCTCTTTCTCTCCGACTACCTAAGTCATTTTTTAAAGTTGTCACTCCATCTCATTTTATTGGGTGGTTGTGTCTGACAGTGTGCTCTGATCGAAATTTCCCATCTTATTAGGGGCTTCCACTCTATGTTTACCTAGGTTTCTGTGTTCCGCTAACCTAAGTGACTGACTCTGATAGCTTAGTTCGGTCTATGTCTACGTCCTGACAATCATTGCATGAGATTCGCCAGACCAAATTGTTTTCTTGATTTGGTTCGATAGGGTACTGCAGCCGACAAAGTGTGTCTAAGTGAATTTGGGGGATTAAACACCATTATAATACCGATGTTATTGAAAATTCTTCGTGTCGTTTCTGATCTCACCTTGTTATATGGTGCAACCAGCTATGGTAGTTTTAAACGCTTTTGCGTGATTTCATCATTACAAGTGTTTAAGGGAGTGGTAGAGCAATATTACTATCTTCTGCATGTGGATTGTTCGTCTTACTAATCAGCAACTTCCTACCTTGTTACCTAGGCATTTAAACTAGCCTAGCTTAATTGATGTCGGACGGGATGACCGTAAATCTAAGTTTCGGTCAGAGTATGAAGTCTTTTTGCAGACAGTTGTGTCTAAACCTCCATCTTCACTTAATTTTGCGATCCATGAATTCGGGAATACCTCTCAAAGCTAGTCACCAATGAGCACCAGTTCAATTGGATTTTGGGGGAGTTGTGGGTGCCCATTTTTGACTAACTTCGAGAGGTATTCCCGAAGTTCCAATGAGAAGTCGTGACCGGTGAAGTCAAAGCCTGATGGTCGTGAGGACAGTTACTCACCGATGACATTGGGTGGCGGTTGCACTATATCGTGAGCTAACAGAAGTTGGAAATATGGAACATTGAATTCTGACCCAGTGGCTCAATGGTAACGTGTTGGCCACGGAACCTGAAGGTCGTTGGTTTGATCCCTGGTGGGGTCGTGGGTGCGCACTGCTGAGGAGTCCCATACTAGGACGAGACGGCTGTCTAGTGCTCCCAGGTTTCCTTTGTTCCTCCAACTGATGTCAGTCTACAATGAATAACAACATGAAACAAGTGGAAACTTTATTGGATTTGAATTGTTTGAGGTAGATACTGAGTGGTCGATTTTGGGCCGAACCAATGGGAGTCATATTGTGGACTGCATATACGAATAAATTCCCTGTATGTCCTAGCATCGAGGAGCCGCTACGTTGAGATATATTTATTGTAGGTTATTCATTACAAAATTTCACCTACACGCATAACTTCTTTTTCACGAGGATCGAGGATGTGATAACAAGGTAATGTGCAGTCGTTAGATTTCTCACACCTGTAACGCTTTTAGAAGGCATCAGTTACATTACTTGATTGTACTGTCTACCTGAAGTCTAAGGTAACGTGGGAACGGTGTTGAAAGTAACCGCACGTAACTCAAGGGATCCATTTGTAAAACTACTCGGCTTCCTTCGACGTTTCAGAAGATATAACACCTTATTTCTTCAGCGTATAAGAAGCTTGTAATTGTTGGCGACTATTTCGGTTGTGTAAGCAGATCGTCATATGTTAATACCTTAAGTTGATATTTCCAAATCTGAAATTTACTTATAATTTTCCAGTGTGGTGCTTATCTGAATTGTGTGTGAGATAACATCGTGGTTTCTTTGAAGCTTCAAAGACACTATCCTGTATTCACCCTACCACTTACTTTCTGAAATGCTGATGAAAGCTGAATAATTTTACCTGAGTTACCTAGATTGTCTTATCTAGCTTTGTACTAAAAGTGAAACCTGTCACGTGATATTTTTAGCTCCCGTATTGCATTATTTTCATTTATCTAACTGTACAATTTTTTTTAAAGACACCACACATATAAGTATGTGGATAAGAAGCTGGAACTTACTGAACACGGTCCATCATTCGATATGCGTTGTGAGTATTCTCTTTTTTCCTATTCGGAGTATATATTTAATACCTTTTGTTGTATTGTATCAATGAGAAGTAATCGTATGTTTGTGTTATGCTATCACTTTATTCTTCTTGAGGCGAAAACAAGTATAACATTGGCCGTTAAAAGTAGAAGACATGAAGTGACTGCAAAATTTTGATCACAGATGTCTTCATAGCATTGCCCGTGCTTGGTGGAATCACCGTGTAAGCAGTGTTGAGGCCAGGTGAACGATACTAGGCAAAACAGGCTAGTCAATTGATAGCATCGTGAACCTTCATAGGCTGAGATAACTTGCAGGTGTGTGCACATACCCAGTCACGCCCACCACCTCCAGTTCCATACTAGGAGAAGTTAGATTAGGTTGGAAGAGAGTTCAGGGTGATCAGACCAAGACGAGGCACTAGTCCATGAAGTCCCTAACTGTTGGTCTCATTCATGTGAGGAGGTGTAGACTGTTTGGCTGGGGTCCTCAAGACGATAGGAATGAGTGGTTGAGAACTCTTGGTGAAATGGCTGGGAATCGGTCACAATGGTGCAGATGTATTCACTCTCAGACGTCTTCTGAAGCTTTGATATTTGCACTAACCTTCATCTTTAGATTTTTTTTACTCACTCATGCCACTTTGTCTACTTGGATATCATTCTTTTTCTATCTACCTGTTCTTTGTAGAGCTGTGGCTCATTAGTTTAAGAGAAAACCATCAACCTGTGGGTTACGGGTTCGAACCCGACCCCACCTACTGAGGTTTGGTTAGGCAAGTAGTATCGCTAGCTCTCATCGCCTACTGCATGGATGTGTACAAGGTAGCTGAGTGCGTTTCTTTTTTTTATCTGCTGGTGTGAAGTGTGGCAACATGAACCGATGAACTTGTGTAGGATGTTCTACGCTGATTCTGTCTCTCATAACACTGAAATATAATATACGGTTTAGTCTGTTGCTGTACTTTATTCAAAAGCTGCCATCTACTCATCGGCGCAACTTTGTAGTCGTCAGTTTTCATCCATGTAAGAGAATTCAGTGTACCACACTGCCCCCTTTTAAGATTAACGAAATTACATCACAGCATATTGTATCGGGCTGTTTCATAAGCTATATTTTACAGTCTGTGTATGATATAGGTAGAAGCTGTAGAAGATGTATTTGTTTGCTGCAACTTACAAAGCAACCAGATTTATGACTACCACTGATTTTCTACTGTGAAAGTTTCCGTCAGTATCTCCAGCGTAAGTTAAAGTATAACAAAAGAGCAGAATAAGTTAGACTACCGTTTTTTTCTCTCTACGAGACATTAAACACTGACCTGGTTTGGTCTGGTTTGGTCGTGGTCGTTAAATGACCAAACTTTGTTGAGGCATTTACCGGGGAACAAATGATCAAAGTTTGCCCGCCTCAGTGAATTCTATGACATAATATACCCATCGTTCATTACTAGTGCTAGGTGTTTGTTCTAATCTATCAACTGCCTTATTCTACAGGTTATAAGTGTTGGTTGGAGAGTATCTAATCAGCGTCTGGTTACCAGTTGTATTGATTAATCAAAAAATACCTTCAAAATTGTTTGTGAAACTTGGTGGAGGTTTCTAAACTGGTGTGATATTTGTTCTTCCGATACACATTGTAGTTTATGTAATTATTGAAAAATGTGTAATAATAATGCTTATTTGAGGTGAATGCCGATTTTAATTTCGGCGTAGTATTCATCATGAATTGACATTAGTTGGAGAATCATCGAGAACTTGGGAGCACTAGACATCTGTTTTTCTTTCTAGTATGTGACTCCTCAGCAGTATACGCTCATGACGCAGCTAGGGATTAAACGCAGGACCTTCAGATTTTATGACGTACACTTAACCATTCAGAGATTGAATTGGAGTTCAGTGGTCTACAGTTTCTAACTTCTGTCAGTTCGCGGTATAGCGCAACTATCGCCCAAGATTTTCAGTTGAAATCCGCTTCCCTTCCGACTAATTGACCCCACAGGTCACTGCATCTCATTAGAACTTCAGGATGCCCATCTTGAAACATGTCACTAATGAGTACCATACAGTGTTGTATTTTGAGGTGAATAAGGATTTTAATTTTGAGGTAGTATTCATCCCTGACTGAAACCAGAAGGTCCTGAGTTCGATCCCTAGCCAGGTCATGGGTGCGCACTGCTGAGGAGCCCCATACCTGGACAGAACAGTTGTCTAATGGTACCAAGTTTTCAATGGTTTTCCAACTGATGTCGGTTCCTGATGAATGCTACCTCAATATTATTATTGTTGTTTTTTGATTTACTATGGGTGTTGGTTGATTCTAAGGTGAAAGTTAAGTGTTAGTAACCTGCAGACACGTATGTTTTTGGTTGTCCAAAACAAAGAGAGGACAATTCAGCAAAGAAAGTTCGTGCTTTTGTTGATATTATTTATGCGCATTGGAAACTGATAACTCTGTTTTTATACAGTGGTTGTGAATTCTCATCACTACTGTGTTGTTGTTCAAAATACGGTGGTTTGTAAATATAGAAAGAAGTTACGTGATGATACGTGAGGTGGTTAGGGAAATATCTAATTGGATGACATGACAGCTATTTCCAAGTCTACAGTGAAAAGTGGTTAAGCACCCACTTGAAAACGCTTCAGTTTTCTCACTACTTTTATCACCCTGTGGGGGTTACTAAAATATCTTTTCATGTAGGTATTCATCATAGACTGACATTATTTAGAGGGACATTGGAAATCAATAAATCCCCACAAACCTTCAAATTGAATTAATCTAGTGCTCATTAGTGATTAGCTTCGAGAGATGATTCCGAAAGTTCTAGTGGGAAGCCGTGATCGGTGGAGCGAACCAAGTCGAACAGGAAGACAGTCACTCAACGACGACATTGAATGGAGGTCGCACTGTATCGTGAACTGATAGAGGTAGGAAATATAAAACATTGGATTCCTACCCAGCAGGTCAATGGTGGCCTGAAGGTGATGGGTTCGATTTCTGGCAAGAGAAGTCATCGGTGCGCGCTGCTGAGGAGTCCCATACTGGGACGAGACAGCTGTCCAGTACTTCCAGGTTTTCAGTCTTCCTCCAAATGATGTCAGTCCATAATAGATGCCAACCTGAAATCAATAAATGAATCCCCACTAAACTCCAAATTGAAAAAAACCTCTTTTTGTCTTAAACAAACGACTTTTTATTCTATTTTTGAACACTAAATTGTTGGTACAGTCTCACAGTATTTATGAAAGCTGCACTGTTATGCATTTCCAGTGATTGTAAACACGGTTGTACAATTTATGTTGTAAGAAAGGTTATTTCCTTCATTATCAATTCTAAACTTTTGCTGACGCATGTAGCTTGTAAGCCTCTGTTTAATTGCCCAACTATTATTGGCATATGGGCTCCTCTGTGCAAATGCCTCGATATTTTCGGTACTTTCAACTTTGATGTTAATGATGAATATTGACTGACGTTGGAATGCAGGACGAGCTTTTTGTCTTATTTTCAACTTGTCAGCTGCATGTACCTGCACCCCAGTGAGTGAGTGATGGTGTTCCCACTAATATTTGATCCTGAGAACGGTCGCTTTGAACGCCAGAGCGAGTCCTTATTGGAACAACACCATTCACTAAGAGGCGGGTACATCCATCTGATGAGTCTCATGTAGGACGAAATGTGTGTTCTGTATATTACTGCCACCAGCCACTATCCATAATTAAAATCCAAACTTTCTTTGGATATTTATGATTTTCTTTTTTTGACCGCAAATAATATAGTTGTCTGCCTGTTTTGTCCTGACATATGACTGTCATACATAGCTGTAAGATGTAAACTATGGGTTATTCGATCATCATTGTTTTCAAATCACTGCCATTTGGTGATGCTGAAGGGTAAACAGAGTCAGAGTTATTTATTGGGTTTCACGTAAATTACTTATTTCAGCTATAAGCTTACGTTTGCTGAAAGAATTGAGGTACATATTGCTTACATCGCTCTTATCCTTCATCAAGGGTTCATTTGCTTTACAGTGGGAAAGGTTTCAGAACTGACTACTATTGTGGTGCACTCCTTATGGGGAAAGATGATTGAAAAATAAAGGTGAAAGGCCTAATTCACATGAGTTGTTCATCATGGACCGACATCATTTGGAAGAAGATTGGAAACCTGGGAGCGCTGGACAGCTGTTTTGTCCTAGTATGGGACTCCTCAACAGAAGTTGAACATATGGACCATTGGATTCCAACCAGTGGCTCAATAGTAACATGCTGGCCGTGGAACTCGAAAGTCCTGGGTTTGACCCTTGTGAGGCGGGTTCGTGGGTGTAAACTGCTGAGGAGTCCGATGCTGGTTCGAAACAGTTGTCCATTGCTCCCAGGTTTCCAATCTTCCTTCAACTGATGTCGGTCCATGATGAATACCAACTTGAAAAAAATCACAAAATCCCCACAAACCCCCAAATTCTAATTCACATAATTCTTACTCTACATACACTTCTCAGAGAAACCGCTTACATTGTCACCTTTCTCCTTTATACTATAGATTATGTGTACGAACATGATCTATAGATTTCAACAGATTTTGTTGCACATTTATCTCTAGATTTTCCTGAGTCACGCCTCTTCTTTATGAGATCCTAGAGTGTAACAATTCCATGTCATTTTACAACTACCTATATGCGGACAGCCGACCTGATCCATAAAAGATGCTGAGCATGTCTCATCGACTCCGAGATCTACACACCTCATATCAACACATCAAGCTATAAGGCACCAACATTGTACGACGAAGTAGATGGTGAGTAGGCATGCATAACATATATCTCAGGCATCTGAGTCGATGAAGGTTCCCAGCCTTACCGACTGAATTCTCGCTTCTGCTGAAAACTTTATGTCCGACTTCTATGTTGCTGACATAGTGGCATCATGATACGTGACCTATGCTACGAAGTCAGCAGTAGTCGACCTCCTGAAACATCCACATATCCTTTTCCTTTAATGTTTCTTTATAGATGTATGTTAGAAGAGAACGAGCTGTAGTGTAGTACACTCAACTCATTGAGTGCTATTCGTATAATATAAAGGATGTGTTCTACCAAAAGCTGTCAGTCTTGGAACGTAAAGCTTGGATGCAGTAATAGAAGTGAGCGAGTTCCACGCTCAAGTAGGAAAGCTGGGCCAATGGGACAGGCACCTTGAAGATATATCTACCATTTTCTCTGTCGGCTAATCGACACCGGTGATCATCTCTCACAATTTTATTTTGATAATCACTTGCATCTGACCAACATATTTTAAGAGTATTTGGTTTGTCTACAGTTACCTGTTAGTGTAGGAATGTCTATGTTCGCATCCTAATGAAACCAAGAAAAAAACAACTGCGAAGTCTTTTTGTGGTTAACTGGAAGTTGAAAACGTTAAGTGTGCATTTTATGGGTTGACTGCTAAGCATTTATCTGAATATGGCAGCAGTTCTCTTCATGATAGAGCCTGACGTAATATTGAGTCTGTTGTAGAAAAAGCAGTGAAGATAGTTGGTATTATACAACCAAAAGTTATGAGAAGCCTCTGGATTTCCTCAACGTCATCCAAATTGATGGTTGCAGGAATACTTTTTCCATCTGACCGCTATGAGGAGTAAAAGCAAATTAGACGTTTGTTGATTTAGTAATCTCCTCAATGCTATCCGTGGTGAACGGAAAATGGGAAAAAGATGGAAAATGTATCGAGATTAGGTAATACTTGGTGGCTGTTTAGGTACACTGAAAATATTAGCAAGAAGAAAGCTATGATTGGATTGGTCATCACCTAAAATAGATGGGTTTCAAACAAGTATACCTTTTGGCTTCCGACACATGCCGTATTTCTTGACCTGAATGCGTCATTCGAATCTATCGATAGGGACGTGTTGTGACAGTACTTGACTATGGAGGGAGTACCCAGTAGATTTACTATGACCCTCCACTCAAAATTGGTTGTTTAAAAGCTCATGAAGAGTTGTCGACTGAAATAACAATATCCAGTGGTGTGCGCCAAAGCTACACGCTGTCGTCGTTCCTGTATAATCTTGTCATACACGCGGTGATTGACGTAACCCTAGGTACTTCCAAATCATCAGGGACCGACTTAGTCGTGGGACGACACGTGGTAGACTACGTGGTGCTATTGTGGGATGATGCTGACAAAATACATACTGTTCTAAACGTCTTTAGTGAAGGTCTAAGTTTATTTGACTAACGTATGTTTTGCACCTATCTTACTTAATATAATGCCACACGACTGGTTTGCAGCTACTCCAAATTTAAGGATAGGGAAAGAAATGGTAAGATGCACTGACCGCTTCACTTAGTGAGCTGCATCAGTTGGAGTGAGTTGTTGCTCAAGTGATCTCAGCTAGAGCACAAAGGCTTGTCTGGCGTTCACCAATTTACACCATCTCCGGCGCCGGTGATACCTCTCACTACATATCAAAAGACGACTATATTGCACTACAGTTCTCTCTGCCGTGTTATACAGCTGAGATGACCTGCGAAAGCAGAAGATATGAGAAGGTGCACAGATTTTTTTTACCATGGGTGTCTTCGTAGCATTACTCACGTATGATGGAATCGCCGTTTGAACAATGTTAAGTTTACACAAAAGGTACTAGATAAGACAAGCAAGTTAGTCGATAACGTTGTAACCTTCACCGACTGAGGTAGGTGTGTGTTTGGTATGCCATGCCACCACCTACCTTGACGAACAATGTTAGCTGAAGTCAGATTAAGTTGAGAAAAGACTCGTGTTTGCCAGACCAAGAAGTGGCATCAGTCGATAAAGTTTTTGATTATTGATCTGAAGCATGCAGATAGATGAAAGCTGCACTGCCAGGGTTTTCAAGATGATCAGAATCTGTATTTGTTGACTCTTGTTGATGTTGGTTGAAAATGTGTTACAATGACACAGATGTAGACACTTTTTTGCTATCTTTAATGGTCTTAGTATTTTCTCTGAACTTTAGTGATCTATTCCTGCTCCATCTATGCACTTTTTTTGCTATTTTCTACGTTGTTTCGTCTGTTTCCATCGGCAATGTCGTTAATTAAATTGAATTATATGGAATATGAGGGTGCTTCATGCACTGTAAGCTAGTTGCTACTAAAATATGTTTATAACACTTTCTTTGTTTTAGTGTATAAAATCTGGCGTGGACCATTGCATGAAGAAGCCACAGCGGATATTGAATGGGTTTACCGGCCATATATGACCACTACATTCAAGAGACATTTTCTGTCAGAGCAAACGACTTCATGATTTGTATTTTCTTGTAAATCGAATAATAAAAAGATTTCCTTAAGAACAAATGATTGGTTATTTCGTGGTTTTTTTTTGTGTCCAAATGATTGACTATCATTATCAACATAGGTTCTCACACACAGGTGCATCGGCTCAAGTTGCCACACTTCACAGTAATAGGCAAAGAACTGATGAATAGAAAAAGTGAGACTAAAGTTAATAAAGTTGTTTGAGAAAATAAACAATGTAAAGATGAAGGTTAGTGCAAATATCAAAGCTTCAGAAGACGTCTGAGAGTGAATACATCTGCACCATTGTGACCGATTCCCAGCCATTTCACCAAGAGTTCTCAACCACTCATTCCTATCGTCTTGAGGACCCCAGCCAAACAGTCTACACCTCCTCACATGAATGAGACCAACAGTTAGGGACTTCATGGACTAGTGCCTCGTCTTGGTCTGATCACCCTGAACTCTCTTCCAACCTAATCTAACTTCTCCTAGTATGGAACTGGAGGTGGGTGGGCGTGACTGGGTATGTGCACACACCTGCAAGTTATCTCAGCCTATGAAGGTTCACGATGCTATCAATTGACTAGCCTGTCTTGCCTAGTATCGTTCACCTGGCCTCAACACTGTTTACGCGGTGATTCCACCAAGCACGGGCAATGCTACGAAGACATCTGTGATCAAAATTTTGCAGTCACTTCATGTCTTCTACTCTTAACGGCCATATCTCATAGACGTACAATAGAAGAGAACGAATTACAGCGCAGTATACTCGTCTCTTATCAGGTAGCCGGATATTTTGCCGATGCCTCAACTGACGTAAGTTGGTAAACTCTAAACAGATGTTGTGTATCTGAGCTGAGATTTCGTCAGCAACCAGCCCGTTATAAGTTATGCAACTTCCCAAGTAAGTGAAGTGGTTGACACATTCCACCACTTCACTCCCTATCATTAAGCTGGGAATACTTGCAGACAACCAGTCCTGAAGCAACATTCTGCATTTGACAGTTGCGATGTACATGCCAAACATACTCAGATTTCTGTTCAGAAGGCCATACATTCTGTCAGCTTCTTCATTTAGCATGACAGTATCGTCTGCACACTCCAAGTTGATCAGATGACCTCCAGGGAGTAGGTCAATCTCTGTGAAGTCAGACGTACCTAAAGTTATGTCCATTAGTACATTTTTGATGAAGTTAAGTGGGAGCAGTTGCAGTAGGCATTCCTAGCGGACACCACTAGTTGTTGTCAAATTTAATGACAAATCTCCATAAGCCTGTATACGGCTGAGTGACTTCAAATAGAAAGCTTAGATTAGCGCTATATTCTTTCTCTGTACTCATTTCACAGTCAAACACTGCCAGAGTCGACGCATATCTTTCAATGAGCATCTTACTTTTCATTGCTTTCATTTAATGCAATCCCATCATCTGGCATGAGAAAATTATATTACCAGGTTTCACCGTGCATGCGACAAATCCTCCCTGTAAGATATTCACTTTAATTTTACGCTGAAAGTAAATATACCAAGAAAACAAGGTTTGTCGATAAGCTGAACTCACTACCGATGCTGTAACCAATACGAACATCTTGATAAGTATTCACATATAAACAATTATCAAGATGTTCTTATTGGTTACTGTATCGGTAAACCTTGTTCTCTTGGTGTATTTACTTTCAGCGTAAAATTAAGGTGAATATCTAACAGGGAAGATTTGTCGCATGCACGGTGAAATCTGGTAATGTAATTTTCTCACGCCCAGATGACAGGATTGCATTAAATTAAAGCAATGAAATGCTCATTGGAATATACGCACCAATTGTTATTCACTGACTCCATTATGACTTTTTGTAAAGGTAGGGCACTACGGAATTGAGTCTTTATTTACCACTTTGCAGTTATCACACCGTGATTTCATCCGAGAATCTGAGTGTTGGTTTCAATCTTCATCAGCTGTTAAAATGAGCTGAATTCAGATGGGGATGTAATTCTAAAGGCCTCAGGGTAATATTAGCATAATTTGATAACTGTGTATTTGCAGGGATGGTTTTCAAAAGAAGGTTATATTTATTGATAAGCTTCAAAGATGGTTCCGAATCCAAATTTTAAGTCAGCGGTGAAAGATACCACATGTATATGATAATGAAGAAATATCCGTGGGCTACCGTCTCAATTTTCTACGCAGCTGATGATGACTTCCGCTTTGTTTTCCATCCATACACTAACGTTGCCAGACTTCACAGTAGTAAACAACAAACAGGTGGATAGAAAAAGTTATATCAAGGTAAACGAAGTTGTGAGAGAATAGGCAATTTGAAGATGAAGTTTAGTGCGAATATCCAAGCTTTATGATACGTCAAAGAGTGAATACTTATGCGCCACTGTGAAGGATTTTCAGCCATGTTACTAAGAGCTCTTACCTACTGATTTCTGTCGTCTTGGGGACCTCAGCCAGGGAGTGTATATGAAGTGTTGTTAGAATTCTGTCTATCAAGTTGGCGATGTGAACGCCATTTTAGGTATCGTGTCATCTTGAATCATGTTTGTTGTTTGAAAAGAATTGACAAGAAGCTGAAGCTTCAGCCGCAAGTAGTTTTCTGATTAAAGAAAGAAGCTTGATATCAAGTACTGATTGCCTTCCAGTAATCAGAATGAAGCGTCGGCTAGTAACACTCTACAATTGCTTATTCTATCATTTTACATAAGACATTTTCAGTGATCGTAAAATGAAGATCTGGGGAGAATAGAGGCAGAATGATAGCTTCTTGATGTCAATATAGAAATAGTTGAAGAATATATCAATGGGGATTGGAGTGTAACGATGAGCATTCGGTATACACACAGGGAGATATTCCAAAATTGTTGCGGTTCCTGTGTATCCATTATAAACCCATAGTCGGAAAAAATGAGAAGTCGTGACATCTTCCTGGTGAGAATAATAATTATGATACGTGACACTGTTGGGATGGTCACCAACTCTGGTTCTATTTGTAAATAAAAATCTATTTTGGGTGAGTGGCTCATTCTTATTGGTGTAGTACTTGCAAACAACCTTCAGGACGAAATGCTTATCGTTGTGAATGGGAAGTCTAATCATGATGCACGTAGCTTTACAAAATGAATTCCAGCGTTTTAATTTATTTTTCTTAATAAGCTGGGACTTCTTGAGATACGATGTTAACAGATACCGGAACTGGTAACCTTGGAACTTCGTTCTTTATACTGGTTACCAATGATGAATTGTTTTTCATAAAAACGCATTTATATAATGAACCCAAAAAATATTTTTTTTAAAATTATGTTTACCAGTAGCTTGGACCTGTGTGACGTGTTTCAGTTTTTGACTGACTGTGACATCCAGACTTTTGTTGAGTCAAAATGCCGTTACTTTGTTTATTGAGCTACGCTGTGATGGATTAATTCTCGGTTCCATAGAATATGCTCTGGCTATGAACTAGTGCCACACCAAATCACCTTCTGTTAGCCACTATATATGCTACTTGTTATTCTTTATTTGACGTGAACATTGTAAATGCATTTTCGTTTGTTTGTACCGTGTTTGTATGATACTTGGTTGGCTGCGACTTCTGAATCGCATTGCATTAGGAATATCTTCTCTACTATCTTTACTTTCATCTTCTTTTTTCACTTTTTCTGACATTGGTGGGTCAGCACCATTTGGAGCGTTCGAAAAACGTGAAGGTATCTGGGGCTAGTATTAATACGCTTTGAGTTAAGTTCGTATATGCTGCACTTCTCTTTATTATTATTATTACCTGTCCCTTGGGTTCCTAGTGGAACATAGGGCTTCAGTAGCACGTCTCCACTCCACTCACTTCTCTGCAAACTTTTGGACCTGGCTCCACGACAGCCCAGAAGCTCTAATTTCTTCCTCGCATGATCTCCTGCATGTCACCCCGGACACCCTCGCCCAACTCGTCGCTTCCCATCTGGGTTTCACTCAACGGCCTGGCCTGACGCCTGATGTCCCTAGTCAGCCCTCTCAGTGTATGCCCAATCCATCTCCACTTCCTTCTGCATATTTGTTGAGTGATAGCTTCTTGGTTGGTTCGTTCCCAGAGCTCCTTGTTGCTTATTCTAACTATTCTGGCCATCTGATCTTCAGTAACGAGCCAGCGTAGGCAGTTGTTGATGAATGTCTGTGGTTTATTGGAAATCCCTTTCGTGATGCGCCGAGTCTCTCAACCATCACACAGAAGCACTGACTTGACGTTGGTATTGGAAATCCGGATCTTGTTCCACATGCTGAGTGCAGTGCAGAAGATTTCCACACTGATTTCAGGCTAATGAACGCCTGTCTTGCTTTTCCAATCCTGGCTTTGACATCCTCGTCTGTGCCGCCTGTAGTTGAAACAGTGCTACCTAGATAGATGAAAGAGGCTACTCCCTTTAAGTTTCTCCTGTTGATGGTGATTGAAGCTTGTTGTTGTTGGTTGGGGATCATCACCACCTATGTCCTCTCTATGTCCACTTGAAGTCCCGTCTTCGCTGCCTCTTCTGTCAACTTGCTAGTTTTCGCCTGCAGATCTTCAAGTTTGTGTGACATCAGACACAAGTCATCGGCGAAATCCAAATCTTCTGCGGTCCAGCGTACCCCTCTCTTCTCGCTTCTCACTTTATGTTGCATGATCCAGTCCACTACAATCAGGAATATCATGGGTGATAGTAGACAGCCTTGTTTCATTCCCATCTTCACTTCAAAAGCATCACTGAACTTCCCATTGTGAATTACTCGGCATGTGACATCTTCATATAGTTGTTGAATGGGGTTGATAAAGGTTTGTGGTATTCCGTAGTGTTGAAGCAGCAACTTCCTGTCAAATTACTTGTCGGTCGACGCTGTCGAAGGCCTTTTCAAAGTCGATGAAGTTGAAATGGAGGGTTGACTGCCATTCTACGCTCTGTTCTATCATGATGCGACGCGTTGCAATTTGGTCGGCACATGACTTGTTCTTCCTGAAGCCAAGCGGCCATCCTGTTCCGGTCGTAGTTTTGAATCTAGTGCATCCTTTAGTCTCTCCAAGCTGATTCGGCGTAA